CCTCTGACAGCTTCTACAATGATTTTCAGTCTTAAAATCTGCAGCATGTTGAAAATTAGGACATAGTATAGAAGAAACCAATGATGGTATTAAAATTAATAGCACAAGGGGTTACTGTAATGTTGGTACCATACTGTGTCCTGGAGAGGGCATTAGGCTCTGAAGCACCTTGCTGCCTAATTCTGGTGTCCTGTGTCAGAGTGGATGATGCACAATTATGATTGCCTTCTGACAAACAGAATGTAACTAACCTATAGCCAGATGATGTGATCCAAGGAGGAGGTTTCTCTGTAGGGATGTTAAATTTTGATTAATTGACTAATTGAATAGTTGATGCAATTTGCATTGACTATTTGATTAGTCAATAAGGGCGCTTCCGCCTTTGAAGTGTAGCAACAACCCCAGGGCTATTGCTACACTTCAAGGCGAGAGCACGGGGCCAGCGGGGGACTGTTTGAGTCCCTTGCTTGCCCAGTGTTCCCTGCAGCATTTCAAAGCGGCAGTGCTGCATGGAGCCTGGGGGTCAGCTCCCCAGCTGCTGACCCTGGCTCCGTGTGGCGCTGCCACTTTGAAACACCACGGGGAGCCTGCTGTCAGGCTTCACGTGGTGTTTCAAAGTAGCAGCACTGCATGGAGCCTGGGCTCCATGCAGTGCTGCTGCTTTGAAATGCCTTGTGCAGCCTGGGGTCCCCTGTGTGCAGTGTGACCCCAGGCTCCACGTGGTGCTGCTTCTTTGAAGCACCCCTTTTTTTCCCCTCCTCTTCCCCCTTTCTGATAGGGACACCAGTGGGGGAAGGGAAGCAACTAATCGACTAGCCTGTCGACTAGTCCTTCACATCGCTATTTCTCTGATGATCATCTATGAAATATCCATAGTGTGATTTAGATCAGAGATTTAGGAATCAGTGAATGAAGAGGTTACTTTGTATACTTATATTATTTCCTGTCATTTGCACTTACAATATTGGGCCAGAGGACAAACATAAAAATGTAGCTAGTCTACTGCATGTGTTGATTTAGGGTAGGATTTTCAAAAATGTTTTAAGGAATTTCTGCACTGTGATAAAGCCCTATGCACAGCTATGGCTGGCCCAGGTCAACTAACTTGAGCTCATTGGTCTTGGCCTGGAGCCCAGATTACGTGGTGCCAGAGAGTCTGTGTTGTAATTTTATAGCCTTGCAGCCAAAGCACTGTGAGTCCAAGTAAGCTGATCCATGCCAGCCATAGTTGGTCTTTTATTGCACTGTGGACATACAAATTTCTAAGTCATCTAGGGTATTTCGTAGACATTTTTGAGATTCTCTCTCTTAAACAATGCAAGGTAGGCTCTGGACGTTTCATAGAGATTAATTAATAGCTTTGTCTACATTAGGAAAAGTTTGCCAGTTTAACTCTACTAATGGAGGCACAGCTTTTCCAGGCACAATAACTTGTTTGTATGTTTTTGAAACCAGTAAATATTATACCCGCAAACAAAGACATATCAGCAATAGGACGTTTGTTGGTATAACTGGATTTATGATATGACTTTTACTTGAATACAGGGGTGGACATAATATGACCTTTGGGCTGGATATGGCCCACTGCAGCCCAGCGGGACCGTTGGACAGGTTCCCTGCCTGTTGCCCCTACACGCCACTCAAAACAGCTGGCTTCTGAGACCAGCGTGTGTGTCTCTACGTAGTGCATGCCCCCTGAGGAGGGTGACTCCATGCACTGCCTCTGTTCACAACACAATCCTCAGCTCCCATTGGCTGGTTGATGCACCGTGTAGAGATGCACATGCTGGCTCCAGGAGCTGGCAGTTTTGAGCAGCGTGTGGGGGCACAGCAGGCAGAGAGCTTGCCTGAGGTCCCCCTGGGCTGCTGGCCAGAAGCTGCCTATGGCAAGTGCCTCTAGACCAGAGCCTGGATCTAGCATCCCAGCCCCTTCCACATCCTATTCCATTTTCTCAGGTCATAACCCCCTCCTACACCCTCTTACACACACCCCAACTTCTTGCCCCAGGTCACAACCCAAACCCTTTGCACCCCACTCCCGCACCCCTGCCCCAGGTCAGAATCCTCTCCTCCACCCAAACCCCCTCCCAGACATTGTACCCAAATACCCTGCCCCAGGTCACTTCCCCAAACTCCCTTTCAGACCCCACACCTCCTCCTACACCCCTCTCCTCTACCCAGAGATTCCTTCTGTACCCACCTTCTGTCCAAGACTCCACACCTCCCCCATTAATATCATAGAAAAGTGTGGCCCTTGACTATCAAAAATAATTGCCCACCCCTGTTGTAATAGTTATGGTATTTGGGGAAGGGGACATGATGTAAATATGTCAGCCCTGACATATTTGTATTCCAGCAAAACTTTTAAATGTAGACCAGGTTTAAGAGACTTAATGCCTAGCACAAAGACTTTATCATTGAGGTGAGAGCAATTTATAACTTCTCAGTTCGAGGTGATTGCTACTTCCAGGGATGAAGCCAGGCCAGGTCTGGGAATGGTGGTCAGTAGAAGGATCTCCGACTGACATTGCTATGTCTGCAGGAGTCTGTAGGACTGATGCAGTTACAATGGCAAAACGGTGCCTTTTATCTGAATCACTTGTTTTGCTGGTAAGGGGTGGTTTTACTATACTGATCCAAAACCCAGCTTTGTAAGTATAGCTGTGTATACACAAGAAGTGCTTTGCTGGTATTGTAGCATGTACCAGTATAGAAATCATAGTAGAATAAAACATTCCTACCATAGATTGAGAGTTGGTCTACAAACTTATTCCCACAATAGAAGAGTGCTTCTGTCTGTTGGAATAGCTAACATCCTTGGGTGAGGCAGTTGTCCTGCAGTGCCAAAAAAAAAAAAAGCCTTCTGGTTGGTGTGGAATGTGTCTAGGCCTGGGGACACCCTGGCATAACTGTGCCAACACAGGTTCAGTAGTATAGATAAAGCATAGGCTTGGTGTGTGTAATGCATGGGGTAGGAGAGTTTAGTCCAGGGTGCACAATAATTTTGGATGGTGTTCCCATTCAAAAAATTTGGTAAGTAGTCAAAGGCTGCACTGTTCTATCATAGTAATGGAGGATATACAGGGTCTGAGACAAAGGTTGGGTGCCAAAAGGAACTCAGGGTAGGGATTGGGGTGCAGGAGAGGGTGGAGGGGTCTGGAGCAGAGAATTGGCGTGTCTGGGAGGGGATTTAGATGTAGAAGTGGGTGCAGGGTCTGGGAGGGAGTTGTGATCAGGGACAGGTGTCCAGAAGGAGGTACAGTGGGTTTAGATTGTAACGTGGAACAGTGCTGAAGGAAGCGGTGCAGAGAGTTTGGGTTGTGACCTGGTGCAAGGAGTTGGGGTGCAGACTCCCTATTGGTTGCACCCCTACAAACTGCTCAAAGAGACTGCTTGGGCCAATGCGTGTGTGTGTGTGTGTGTGTGGCATGCACCATGGGGGAAGGGAGACTGAGAGCTGCCTACTCCCACAAGCCTGGCTGTTTTGAGCGGTTTGAGAGGACACAGCAGGCAGGGAGCCCCAGGGTCCTGTTGAGCGATGAGACATTGGTGGCTCAGAGGATTCTGGTGGGCTGGATCTGGTCTGCATTTTGTCGACCCCTGGTTTAGTCTTTGCAGGTGGACTGTGAAGCCAACTTTATATATAGTCTTCTTTAAGAAAAAATGTTAGTGTTTTTTCATTTTATAGGATTGGAATGGTGTTGATTTATTTAAGTTAGTGAAAGAAATTAAATATAAGAACTTTGATCAGCATAACATGTTTTGATTGTATCCCTTTAACTCTAATATGCTGTGTAGAGGGATACAAAATTCTAGGATTGGCAGTAGAGTTCCTGAAGATTAGCACTTTTGATGCAGAAATGTCATTCCTGAAAATTCCTTCTCAAAGCAAATATTTTAGGGATATTATTATGAGTAAGGGACATTAAAAGCTGGCAAATATCTTCATGTACATTATTTGAAATCCCAGTGTGGAACAAGACAGTTGAGAGTTATACATAACTAACATCAAAGAAAGCTACCTGAGAGAAACAGTGCTATTTAAAAAATCTAATATGTATGGTTCTGAATGTGTAGGATTACTTAAACTGACAACAAATACTATATGTTTGGTGTCAAGTATCAGAGGGGTAGCCGTGTTAGTCTGGATCTGCAAAAGCGACAAGGAGTCCTGTAGCACCTTATAGACTAACAGATGTATTGGAGCCATGAAAGCTTATGCTCCAATACATCTGTTAGTCTATAACCGTGGTCACCAACCCATCGATCGTGATCGACTGGTCAATTGCGAGGCATTCAGGCACCCCCACCCTTCATTTTCCCCCCACCTCCGAGAAGCCCCACTACCTACCTCTAGTGTAGTGCCGGCTTCCCGCGGGGTGGACAGAAGTCCTGTCTCAAGCCTGTGTCACTTCTGGAAGTGCATGGGCTGCTCCCCTCCCACAGCTCTATTGCATGCTGGAGGAGGGGGGCGTTGGCCCTGGAGGAGGAGTTGGCCACCAGGGTGAGTCGAGCGCAGGGGTTTCCCTGCGCCGTGGGAGCGGGGGTCAACCTCAGGGTTTGGCCATGCCGCAGGAGGGAGGTTTGGCCCTGCTGCGGGGGGGAGGGGGTATTGGCCCCAGGGCAGGCAGGGTTTCCCTGCGCCGCGGGGGCGGGGAGTCAGGCCTGGAGGAGGCAAGTGCTGGCTTCTCTGGGGGGGGGGGGGGGGGGGGGGAACCGGCAGATGCAGAACTCTGTCCCCACAAAATGTATCATAAATGTTTCATTTTAGATTTAAATAGCATGAATAAAAAAGACCATTTATTTCATAACTATATACACATGATTTTTATTTTATATATCGCATAATCTAAAAATAAACTGTTTATCAGAGTGTGTAAGTAAGGGCCAGGGATAGCAAGTGATGGACAGGAGAATAGAGAGGGTGGGGCTTCAAGGAAGGGGCAGGGCGGTAGATCTTCTGTTCTGAGATTTAAAAAGTGATCTTGGGTGTAAAAAGGTTGGAGACCACTGGTCTATAAGGTGCTATAGGACTCTTTGTCGCTTATATGTTTGGTGGTAGATCAGTTTGTGATTGTGTCCTTAGATAAATCAGGATTCATGAGAACCTTTCAGTTTAAATACAAAAAAGTGTAAAAATATGTAAGTCAAGAAATAACAGGAAGAAAAGTTGAAATGTACTCCAAGCAGAATTTATTAGAAGTCTAGTCAAGAAAAAACACAGAGACCCTTTGCTTATAAGAATTTAGAGTCAATTACCTGAAAGGCAGGTATGAAAAACAGGTATTTTTAAAAATCAGTTACAGAGTAGAAACAGTACTTTTTTAAATATGACAGGCAACAGATTAAGTCTTCATCATAAATGGCATCAAAGATAGGTATGAATCTTACAGCAAAGCTGCATGCAGATCTAAATTAATATTAAAAGCCTTTGAAATATAAAGCTTTTGCCATGAAATTTGCAGTAATAAAGGTATGCTGCACAAAGATGTTTCTTTACCTTTGTCTTAATGACATTTTGTAATAAAGTCATATGTACATTTAGATTTGGCTAGTAAAACCAATAATAAAATTTTGCATAAAATGCTATTTTACAGAATTGCACTATCCGGGTGTGCTTAGGGTAACAGGGGCAAGTAAAGAAAAATGCATTAATGATGTTCTGTATATGAAAAGAGCAGAGATCAAATGAGGAATTGATTTTTTAAAAATCAACAACAAATTGGATCTGTACAAAAAAGAAGTACAAAATGCTAGAGATTACATACATAGTGATAAGTCAAGCCTTTACCACAAGAAAAATGCAATAGAAGCTTTTGCCATCTATAAGGTGCTGAAGAAACCAAATTGGAATTGTTTTGTATAAAGCCACAGCCATAATCATTCTGTCTCAATTTCATATATTATTTATGCTTACCTTTCCATAAAGAAAAAGAATGATGTATTCAGACGTTTCTTTCATTCACACACACAAAAAATGAAAATTATCAGTTTTAAGAGTTGTGACTTTTTATACTATATTCCTAAAGACAAATGTATGACTAAGATTTTGTTAATGTATAAGAGATATATGTAGTGAAATAAAATCAGTACACTTGTGCATATTTTTTCGGTGACTATGTTAGAATACATCTATGTACTAACACTGTATTTTTCATAAGCCTTGTGATAATTAAAACCACTAACCCCTCAAATTTCATGTTGTTGATTATTACAACACATTTAGATATAGTCATGTAATGTTAGACATCAGTAGTTTGTTATTGCCTATCTTCATAGCTCATTATCCACAAACTCTCAAGATTTCACACCTCTCGCACTTTTAATTTCAACAGAAAGCACTGTAGTTTATTTGGGAAAAAAAAGACTTTTACCAATACAATCACACCCATCCAACACACTTTCAGTGTCCTCATTTTAACTACTACTCCTTGAAATTTTATAATCACTGTGCATATTTTACAACATATAAGTGCAGGCAAAAAAAATCTATATTATAATTGTCATATATATTGTAAACCAGAAGAATAGGCAAATTTGTGATACAGCAAAGTGAAAGCAACATATGCTGCCAAGCTAAAAAGAATGTGGATAAACAACTTTTTAAAAATAAACAGCAACTATTTCTTTGTACCAGGCAGAAGCTGAGAATCAAATTTTTGCATAGCATTTAATGCTAGTACCACAATGCCTCCAAACAATGCAAGTTTTCCTATGGAAATACACCTGTGTACCTTCTTTCATCAAGGTTTTCCTATTATTTTCTTTCTAATGAGGGGAGGAGGAACTAAAGCAGGAAAACAGGAGAAAGTACTTAAATGTTGAAACGATTCCTCTTGTTTCATACAAGTTTAGTTATTCACACTGTAGTTGTTGCTGTAATACTGCTGGAACGGTTTGGCAGATGAGGATGGGGATGATGATGATGAACTAGATGACCTTTTTGATACTGCAAAGCAAGAAAACAGAAGGCCTGTAGTAGCATGTTTTCTAGCAGCTTTATGCAGATGTGTTGCAGAGATGCAGCATAAATAAGTAGGAAAAAAATTCATAGCCTCTTGACATAGTTTCCAGGGAAAGTACCAAAGAATTTGGTTCTCCTTGAGGTTCCTGAAAGTAGAAGTAATAAATGAAAGAGGGCAATAACAGTAAGTAATCACGATGTATGTATGGCCTTTAAACTTTGTTTTCAGTCTATGAAGTTACGTTAGCACTGCATATACTAGGACAGGAGATGCTTGTGAAAAGCTAAACTAATACTGTGTATTGTACAGTTTGACGTATTACATTTCTTAGTCATAAATTGTTTCCAACTTAAAATATGAGGAAGGGGAAAGCAAATACAAGAGGCATTGTTATGTTTAAATTATGTCTCTCCAGATTATTATTTGGACTAAATTATAATGAATATTAACCTAATATAGAATCATAGGACTGGAAGGGACCTTGAGAGGTCATCGAGTCCAACCCCCCGCCCTCAAGGCAGAACCAAGCTCCGTCTACACCATCCCTGACAGATGTTTATCTAACCTGTTCTTAAATATCTCCAGAGAGGGAGATTCCGCCACCTCCCCTTGGCAATTTATTCCAATATTTGACCACCCTGACAGTTAGGAATTTTTTCCTAATGTCCAATCTAAACCTCCCTTGCTGCACTTTAAGCCCATTACTCCTTGTCCTGTCCTCAGAAACCAAGAGGAACAAATTTTCTCCTTCCTCCTTGTGACACCCTTTTAGATATTTGAAAACCGCTATCATGTCCCCCCTTAATCTCTTTTTTCCAAACTAAACAAGCCCAGTTCATGAAGCCTGGCTTCATAGGTCATGTTCTCTAAACCTTTAATCATTCTTGTCGCTCTTCTCTGTACCCTTTCCAATTTCTCCACATCTTTCTTGAAATGTGGCTCCCAGACCTGGACACAGTACTCCAGCTGAGGCCTAACTAGTGCAGAATAGAGCAGCAGAATGACTTCATAAGTTTTGCTTACAACACACCTGTTGATACAACCTAGAATCATATTTGCTTTTTTTGCAACAGCATCATACTGTTGACTCATATTCAACTTGTGGTCCACTATGACCCCTAGTTCCCTTTCCGCCATGCTCCTTCCTAGACAGTCGCTTCCCATCTTGTATGTATGGAACTGATTGTTCCTTCCTAAGTGGAGCACTTTGCATTTCTCTTTATTAAACTTCATCCTGTTTACCTCTGACCATTTCTCTAACTTGCTAAGGTCATTTTGAATTATGTCCCTATCCTCCAAAGAAGTTGCAACCCCACCCAGTTTGGTATCATCTGCAAACTTAATAAGCGTACTCTCTATCCCAATATCTACATCATTGATGAAGATATTTAACTGTTCGGGTCCCAATACAGACCCTTGCGGAACTCCACTTGTTATCCCTTTCCAGCAGGATTTAGTACCATTAACAACAACTCTGACTACAGTTATCCAGCCAATTATGCACCCACCTTATCGTGGCCCTATCTAAGTTATATTTTATCAATAAGAATATCATGCGAGACCGTATCAAATGCCTTACTCAAGTCTAGGTATATGACATCCACCGCTTCTCCCTTATCCACAAAGTTCGTTATCCTATCAAAGGAAGCTATCAGATTAGTTTGGCATGACTTGTTCTTCACAAACCCATATATTTGAGTGTTATTTATAAATATTAATTATAATAAAATAATCTGATAAGGGTGGATGTCATCAGCAGTTTTTAGGCTTTTCAAAATAATGTAGGATTAGTTGGACAGTTAAAGTATTTTTATATTTTATGCAAGATGATTGGAATGACCAGAAACTTTCTTTGATCCTATTTCTGAAATCCTTATTCAGAGTACATGCTTATTTATTTTTATGAGCAATCCTACTGAAATCTATGAGTAGATTCCACTCAGTCTCAGTGAGGGTGGTGTAATGGAACTCTTCATTAAATCTGTGGGAAGGTGCCTATGGACTTCAGAGGGTTTGGATCAAGTCAGTCCCCCAAAACTTCAGCATAATCAGGCTTACAACTAATTTTTTACTTTCAACACATCAATTTATACAATTATCTACATAAAAGTAAACTACGAGGGCAGCAAGTATTTCTGAAATTTTAAACCCACCCAACCAAAATAAAACATACCCACAAACCATCCATCATCACATTTTTCCATCACATCAATGATATCTCCCTCTCTCAGCTCCAGTTCATCTTCATTCCTAGGAGTATAGTTATATAGAGCCTGAAACCTTAAACAGGACAAATGTTATGTTTTAAAAAAGTAAGTTCTTTTCACCTTTACTTAGAGGAGTTTGTCATATTTAATTAACATTTAAAGTAACATACTCTACTAAAAACTATAACACTGCATATTGGAAAACAGCAGAATGCTTGCCTGCTTTAGTACTATGGAACTAGATCCAGAATACATAGCACAGCTTATACAAAAGACAATTCACATGAGATTTACTAAATTGTTTGTAATGGGATTCATATAGCTCTGCAGTCTAACTGAAGTTGCTAATGCACAACTCCTCTCAACTTTATTCTGAGAAGGGGAGAGAACATGAGAGAGAGGCTTTAGAGAAAGAGGTAGGTTAAGAGTGGGAAGAGACAGATAGTGGTAGGGGTAGCCATGGCCTAAACAGGAGGGAAAAAGAGTAAAATGCTGTGTGGGGCAAAAAGGAAAGTAAGATGCAGCTCCCAATATCTTAATAGATTAACTAAATTCTCCCACATCCTCTTGAAGGTGTATGTCCACTTTGCATGTACTTAGGGTTGCCAGGTGTCCAGTATTCAACCCAACAGTCCAGTTTTTGGGCCCTCTGTCTGGTAAAAAAAAAATGCAGAAAATACCAGACATTTGCAGTATCCGGTATTTTCTGGTTTTCCGGCGTGATCGGCGCTGGGAGCCTCTGGTTGTGTCTGATGTAGGAGTGACACCTGAGGAGGAGGAAGAGAAGCCCTGTCCGTGCTCCTGATTGCTGTTCAAGCGCATTGTGGAGCCGTAGCCGGACTCGCTCGTGCTTCACTGGGACCGTGCGCGGGACGGGCAGCACCCTGCGATCTGCATGTGCCCGGGTCAGTCCCACTCCCCACCAGCTGATTCTCCCTCCTTTCCCTTCTCCCCGTCCCGACCAGTCCCGACCCCCTTCCGGCTGGTTCTCCCCCGGCCAGCACCGCTCCCCTCCTGGCTGGTTCCTTCCCTTGCTCCCAATCAAGTGTATCTGCCTGTCTGGTATTTTTTCTGAAGCTACCTGGTAACCCTACATGTACTGGATTCTGAACCTAGCCAGCCACATGTTTGGGACTCAGTGTAAGTTAGAGCTGCCTTGGAGTGTGAACAGATAAAATCACGTGAAAATGGAGAAAATCAGAGAGAAAAGGAAGGAAAAAATATAAGGAAAATTGTACTGTAAATCCCTGGCAGAAAAGCGAATCTAAACTTAAGGAAGGCAAAGGGTTGGTTGCAGTTACATACAAGGAAGGGGTGAAATGTTAGACATTACACTGGTTAATTTCTTGTTTTACATTTGAGTGAATTTAGTAGTCATGAATATAATGGCTTGAATCAAGCATTATGTAGGAAAAACTGTGCTAGCTTTCAGTCTTTGTAAGATGTTATATTGCATTCTTGTTGTTAACATTCACTTTCTACATTTTGCTCACTTTTCTAATTCCAAAGGTTTCCTTGATAAATAACAATTTGATAATTCAGGAGCAGTGAGACAGAAAAGTTTAATTATTATTAAATCTTTATAACTGGCATTCTGCTCAAAAAGTCTAAAAGTGATGGAATCACAAAATGGCCAGTAGTGGGTTTTTTTAATTAATTTCTATCTTAACTGAAAAGCATGGAGGAATTGTTGTATGTAACAATACTATAGGACATTGTCTTCATTTGTGAGATAACATATCTTTACTAGCTAGTTTTGCCATCAGGGATTTCCTGGATGATGTCTTCTGACATTATTTGGATAGCTGTGCTATCCCATGATTCTACTAGGTAGTTTGCTGATTCCTTCAAAGATATTCTGGCTATTGGTCCCCTTAAGTGCCAGTGTTATCTCTCTGGATAAATAGATAAGAAATATACTTACGGTTCCCCCCCACTGTGTATGTTTTCATGAGCAAACACGGGGCGTTGTGGCTGTAATGAAATGATTTGAAATGTAATATAGATTTTCAGTTGTTACTAATTTAAGTATAATTTGGATACTGGCATGATACCCGTACAAAATTTCTTGACATTTCTTATTCCGTTTTTAAAAATAAAAGAGAAAGCACTAGAACATTTTTATAGGTTTAAACACTAGACTTGAAGGACATAGTGAAAATTGACAAAAGGAACTGCTTTTTATTTATCCAATCAGATCTTTTCATGCTGAAGTTGGGCCCCACTTCTTTTTCCAGGAATGGAGATGCATACATTATTTCCATTTGAGTTTCATGGTATGTTACACAATCTTTGACTGATGTGTGTTCTCCGACAAAATAGTAACAAAAAATCATCGTTAACAGACAAGAATGAGCATCCATTCATTATGATTTATCTAGACAAATATTCCCATGTACAGTGCATGCACATGCGCACATATTTTTAAAAGAATCTAACTAATTATGTTACCATGTACACTAATATGTTTAGTTTAGAACGGGCAGATATTTCCAGTGCAATGACCTTTTAAAAGTTACTTTCCATTTTAAATTAGCAGCAGCACTACTATGTATCAGATACTTTAAATATTGGAAGTGGAAAACCTTACCTTCCTAAAAAAAACAAACAAAAGCACACAATGTTATGAACTAACAGAAAACCATGTGTTTGTATCTATCTATTTCCACGTTAGACCAATACAGAAAAGATAGAAGAGCTGCCAGTTGAAAGAGAAAAGCAATTACTAGGATTACTAGTGGAGGCTGCCCTCCTCTCACCAAATAAATTTGCAGTCCAGAAGAAATTTGGGAACCTCAACTGGTCAAAGATAGCCTACACCACATATTCTCCTATTAATGATTATAGTAAGAGTTTGTGGACTTTTTTGGATGTAATGTGGACCTTATCGTATCTGTCGATACTTCATGTGATCCTGTCTATGTTGGAAGCTGGTATTTCCTACTGCACTACTAGGGAGAATAATGAAATCTTAATTCTTGACATAAAGAAGCCTCTAGAGAAGTTCTCATGAATATGTACTTTTGCTGCATACAAGACTGTGGCAGGCCACTCCCGCCTACCCTCTCAAGTCCAAGGCCCTCCGGCCTGAGTCCGAAGCACAATTTAGGGTTGTAGCAGGGACGCACCCCAGGTAGGGGGACCCGGGACCACCCTACTCCTCCGGGTCCTAGCCCAGGGCCCTGTGAGCGACCAGGCAGCGGGTCACTCCCTCGGCGGGGTAATCCGGCCGAAACGCGCTGAGGTTCTCTGGGTGGGAGAAGAGGCTCCCGCTCCTGCCCTGGGCCACTTCCTACCTGGTTCCCTAAGGTTCCTTCCCCTGTACTCGCCCAGCTTGCTGCGACTTCCGGGCCGGCATCTCCTTGGCAGGCAGTCCCTGGGTCGCACCAGCTCACCTCTGCGCCCCCTTTGGACTCGCCTGAAGTCTCAGGCAACAGCTCTGCAGGAGCTCCCTTCACAGGTCCTTCTCCTCTGGCTGACCTCCCAGACTGAGTCCTTCCCCAGGCTTTTATAGTGGAGCTACAGCCTGGGCATGCTCGGTAGGGCTGTGGGGGAGGGGCCTCTGCGGCCAGGTAACCCTGGCTGGGCCCTTTGGGTTCAGTGCGGGGCTGCCTCACCCTGTCACAAAGACCAACAGGCAGACCACACCTTAAATTGTCTTAAGTTGCTGGACCATAAAAAAATGAGTACTCCTTTAAGGAACAGTGCCCAGAAGTTTAAAAGAGAACACTAATAATTTATGCTATCCAACGTTTCCCTCAATAATTTAAAAAACTTTATACCATCATCACTGTTTTTACAGGCTATTTATATAGCTTTAAACACTGGCAACTCCTGCTGTGTCTTAATTCATTACTAATAGTACTTCCAAAAAACTTTAAAAACAGTGAATAGTCCTACAGGACCTTAGAGACAAACAAAAATGTAGATGGTATCATGAGCTTTTGTGGGCACAGCCCACTTCTTCAGATGAATGAAGTTAAAGGATCCAACGTCCAAATAAATGAGGCCAGTTCACCTCATTTAACCAGCCATACATACAACTTTTTAAAAAAAGGAAAGAACAAAACTACCTAAATTTTTCCCCCTCACGGAGTTTTCTCACAGCCATATCAAATTTTTCTGATTTTTAAAAAATGCATCATTTTAAAGCAATACTTTAGGTTAGGTAAAATGATGGTCTGTCACTCTTGAAAAATAATCCCTTTATCCAGTTTTCAAACTGGAACAGTCCTGTGATTTAACAATTACATCCATAATAGCAACTGATCCACCACAGAAATACACAAATTTTAAACAAAATATTTATTTAAAGGTGTTTTTTCTCTACTATTCTTAGCTGCTTCTTGCTCTTAGTTACTCTTAGCAATATTATGTGAGTGGAACACCTACATTTTTATATTGAAGCTTACAAGTTAAGATACATTTTGATTAATGGTTATGTATTACATATTATAATCACAGTTTTTCATGTGGCTTAAATTATACAATGTTAATGCTACCGTCAAGGTTATTTTTAAACTAGTGCACATAGTTTATTGCAGTGAACATTACAGATTTTCTCAATTTCACCTGTATAGAGTTTATGGACCAGATTTTCAAAGGTATTCAGTTGCCTAAAGATGCAGCTAGCATGTAGTGGGCCTGCAAAAGTCTATGTCCCATAGGAGTTACGAAAATCTCATTCGGCACTTGCCTAAATACTGTTGAAACTCTGGTCCTACATGACTATCTGTCCTTCCTGATATAAATTCTGTTTAATGTGATCTTCATACAATATTCTTAAAGTATTTTTGTTTTTATATTTTAATGGTGAGAAATTCAAATGATAAAACAAAACAGATAATCTGACTTTGCTAAACTCTCATCCAGCATTTCCTGTAATTTTTTCCACTGAGTGGAAAGAATTTTCTTATGTGCACTGATATAGAGGTGATGTGTTGTACATCATCTTCATATTGATGCACATATCAAAATTCATGGGTGGGAGTGGGACCACGGGGTTCTGAATGTGACAGAGGGCTCAGGGCTGGGGCAGAGATTTGGGGTGCAAGGACTCAGGGTGAGGATTCAGGGTCTGGAGTGGGGCTGTGGATGAAGTGTTTGGGGTTCAGGAGCGGACTGTAGATTTGGGGATGGGCTCTGGGCAAGACTTGTGTTCAGGAGTGGATACAGGTTCTAGGTTAGAGTACAGGTGGGGTTATTGGCTCTGTGCTGGGGCTGTGTAAGGTTGCCAGATGGTTTAACCAAAAATAAAAAAACCCAAGAAAAAAAAATTTGGTGGGGGGGGGGGGGGGGGAAGGAGTTGAGCAAAAAAAAAAAAAAAGGAACCCCTGAGAGTTAAGCAAAAACAGTTTTTAAATAAGCATTAAAACAGCATGGCCCCTTTAAGAAAAGTCTTTAGGCTTTTTGTGTTCTTGATTGGAGCCAGAAGGCAGTTTCCCCTGTGGGAGGCTGGGGGAAGGGGAGCCCAGTTGTTGAGCGTGGTAGGGTTGACAGGTGTTCAGTATTTTTTAAAAATTTTTATTTTTTAAATAAAATTTTTTTTTTTTTTTTTTTTTTTTTTTTTTTTTTTTTAACCAGACAGGAGGCGAAAATACTAGACTGTCCGGGTCAATACCAGACACCTGGCAACCCTAGGGGTCTGGGCTTTGGGGTGAGGATGAGGGCTTTGGGATGCAGGAGGCTTCTCTCAGCTGGGGGCAGTCTCAAGGTGGAGCAGAGAGTTGGGGATCAGGCTTAGACTCCCTATTGGGGATTGTGAGGAGTGGTGCTGCTGGCTCAGTCCTGGCTCACGCTGGGAGCAAACCCCACTGTGGCTGTTCAATTGAAAAGGTAGTAGGAGTCAGGCACCCTGCTTCTGGCTCCTATTGCATTTTAAATTTCAGACTGCAACAGGGTTTGGTCCCTGACCCAGCACGAGCAGGGACTGAGCTGGACTGCCTGCCCAGAGCTCTGCATTCAAAAATGTAGTAGGAGCTGGGTGGGCAGGCTGCCCATCTCCTACTGCCTTTTAAATTTCAGAGTTACAGTGGGGTTTGGTACCAGCGTGAGCCAGGTTGCCTGCCTAGCCAGCAGCAACCCCTTTTCGCAGCTGGCCACCACAGACAGGGGCTTTCTCATGGCAGCAGCCCCTGTCTGCAGGGGAAGAGTGTGTGGGTGTGTCCCAGTGGGGAGTTGGGATCCCCTGAAGACAGGGCTGCTGCTGGAGCAGCCTCCCTCTCCCCCTCCCCCTCCCACTGTTGTCTCTGATAGAGGCAGCAGCAAGAACAGGGGAAATGTGAATAGTCGACTTGACTACCCAATACGCGTAGGCTTATCGGGTAGTCGACTACTCGCTTACATACCTAACATGTAATTTCCAACAATTCACTATTATATATATTTATAATATCTCTACTTAAGCTGGTAATGGGGGATAGAGTCTAAAATGCATTGGTACTCAAAGGAAGAGATAATTTTACATTTGAAACTTAATTTGAAATAACAGTACTTAGCAAATACTTTACATATTCACAGAACTGTAGAAAAAATTAATAAAGCATCACATGCCCTTGCAAGGCAAATAAGGACTTTGTTCTCCATTGTAGATGCAGAAGCACACAAAAGTTAGGCAGAGACTAGTCTATAGGCAGAGGGGGGATGACAACCCAGGAAATCTAGGCATTCAGGGTCTGTCTGTCTACTGCAATTAAAAACCTATGGCTAGCCTGTGTCAGCTGCCTCACACTCACAGGTTTGCATTGTAGGCTTCCGGAATCATTCTGAAGCTTGAGCTCTAGGAGCCTGCAAGAAGGGTCCCAGAGCTTGGCCTCCAGTCTGAATCTGGAAGCGTACACTGCAGTGAAACAGCTCCACAACCTGAGTCCTGCAAGCTCAGAGTCAGCTCTCATGGGCCAGCTTCAGGTTTTTAGTTGCAGTGCAGACATACCCTCAGGCAATAGAGTATTTGGGGCCATTTAGGTACTTATAGTTCCTTGCTTCCAGTCCATGGCTCAGTTTACTAGACCACGTTGCTTCCTGTGTAGGAACCAAGATTCTGATACCAAGCAACTGATATTATAATTATAGCTCTTTCATATCAAACTGAAAGCACTGATGAAATCTGAGCTGGTTTCTGAGTACTTGTTTACGTCAGTGGGCAATGTTAAATGAAAAAAAAAATCTCAGGCTGGTGACTATTGTAATGATTTAGGATTTTAATTTCAACAAATATATGAACAAATACACAATTGGACATCTCATTTGGTGTTTGGTTACTACAACTGTGTCTGTACGTAAGGCATTTTGCATGCTGATGGCTAATTCAGCCACACCCATGGTAAATGAGGTGTGCAGTTGTGAGTGCCTAGTTTTGGGAATTAAGCCCATAAAGAATGCACAACACATACTGCCCCATATAGCACCTTTTTGCTGTATGTTTTATCCCATCATGCAGAGTAACATAGGACCTACACCTTCTCTCATCATCTTTAGTGGGAATAGACTCTCGTCTAATTTGCTTCCTAACTTGCTTCCTAATTTGCTTCTCTGGTACATGCCAGTTCAATAGAAAACAAGAATCCCAGCAAAACTAGAAAAACACAAATATCTTCTTGTGGGGGTGAGGCAGGAGGAAGAAAGATACACCTCCCATACACATAGCAGACATGGACAGGGAGATAAGAATAAAATTAAAGGGCAACTGTACCACAAGAGATCTCTATGCTCCTTTGCAAATGCATTCTGCTATCAAAAAGAAGAGGCAAAAGCTATCTCAAATGCCTTTGACACAAAGCAGTCTGAGTGTTACGATACACATGTGAAAAGTATTTTGGTCCTTTAAAAAAAACCAACCCCCCCCAGCATAACCCACAAACTATATTTTCATTTAGAATCTTCTTGAATATTATGAACACGTAATATAAGACTAACACATAGACACTGAAAATAATTTGATGTTTAGGTTAAATAAAATAGCATGCAGTTACAGACCTACGACTGGAAAGGCTGAGGAGAATCACAGTTGCAAATAGCAATGCTGAGGAAAACATACAGGGCATCCCCGCTATAAGTCAACCCAGTATACATCCGTTCCACACTAAAGTTGTTGACACTTGTAGGAACTGATGCTTTAGAAGTCCTCTCATTCCCTACTCTTAAGTTGCACGAAACAAAAACACCCCAATTTGTGCAAATGGAAGTAAGCCATTTGAAAAAGATTTCCCACTTTAAGTTGTTTCACTATAAGTCCAAGTTTTTTGGAACGTATCTTGGACTTATAGTGAGGACGGTCTGTATCAAGTGAAGGCAGCACACATTGTTATGGCAACAAAGTATTTTCAAAAGTAGTATATACATGCAAAAAATCAGTGAACACAGAACACATTACAAAAGCCACAATCTGTGCATATCACCAAGCTTTTTGGCTATAAAAAAGTTCATTTTAATAAACGGGAAATGCTTTGAAACAAGGAGAGCCATTTAGAAAACAATTGAAAAAGTAGAGTAAATCTGTAAAGAATGCTGTAATTTTTTATATTTTGTGAACAGTGGGCAATCCAGTGGAGATACAATACACAACAGTACTGTAACGTAAGACACTGTGCACAAAGAATTTTGTTATGGTTTTACACAAATCTTTTTTTTTTTTTTTACAGCAGCATTGCAGCACAACAGGAATGAGGCATGGTAGGTATACTGACTGTATTCAAACATATATTATCAAACAAAGAAAAGGGAAACTAGCTACTTGAACTTCTTATGCTAGAGGAGAGTGCTGACATCACACACTGGGCATTCAGTACCATACCCTGTGTGAATAGTTGTGAGCTCTGACAGGTGAGTTGCAGGATCTCTTAGTCATCACAGGACTACGAGGAGGTTTACCCATAACAAATATCTCTCTTTTTAAATCACCCTGGAAAAACCACAAAAATTGTGTCAGTTTATAACTTAAGTACGAAGCCATACAGGGGATTTTTGCTGCTTCATTGGTGCATACAAATTAGGCATGCTATTTCTTTCATTTGAAAAGACCCATGTAGTAAAATGCAAAGAACAAGCTGATCTGTTAGTCCAAGACACCTATGCTGTTGCTGTTGTATCACCAGCAGCATTATTTAGTTGCTCTGGCAGATACACTGACATTTAGAGTTTCATTTTGCAAGATTACTTGCCCATGACCCTTTTTGAGATATGATCTAGCACTGCAAATTTAAATATTGAAGTGACTCTATTAATAACATGGAATGTTCAAAAGCACATAGCAGAAAGTTCATAGAGAACAGGGAAATACTAGCAACTGATATTAAACTGAAAGCAGTGCTGAAATCTGACCTAGTTTCTGAATACTTGTTTAAATCAGTGAAGGATGGTGCCTATGTAAATTAGTTCTAATTGTTTCATGGAAGTCAAAACTTGCCATATACAGAGGATGTGAAGAAAATGAGAATTATTCTTATTGGAAATGTCATCCTTTGGATTTTGTGAAGAGTTGTACTTGAAATGTTTATATATGTACTCAGAGTGAAGAATGGCCTTTTAGAAACCAGCAGAGTAAATAACAAAGAAATGCAACAGTAAACACTAAAGAAGCCTTTTACTGGGGAGCCAAGAATAGAGGAAAAACCTCTTGAAGATCTCCTTTGAAGACTTAAGTCTTATTTCCTCCTTCAGAAAATGAGGGTTTCTACAACATGGAAGAGTCTGTGGTTTCATTTTCAAGCCCTGTAGATATCAAGGGAACAGTTGCAAATCTTGTGCCAGGCCTAGCTCCCTTCGAGGGGCTTCCAAAATGTGACCGATTTACTGGTATATATAGTGGATGTGAAGGAAGTGTTGCATAATGTTCTCCTTCCCCCAAGCCTACCTGTTTTGTGGGCTGCGCCCTCACTCCCTCACATGCAGGGCTAGGAAAAAGTATTACTAAGGAAATGCCTTCCACTGTGCATGCAAGGGGAGATCTGTTATCAAAGGATTTTTCTATGTATGGCTGCTTTTAAATACATTCTCTCTGCAAGATATAAGGTTCTAAAGGAATGATGACATTAAAGAGATTTTAAGATCAGAGAGCTAAAATAAATGTTCTAGTTTTGTACATTTTTAATGAGACTGGCTTAGACTTAATTTTACTTTCTACTATCATTTCCTGAACACTTTTATGATCACACATGGAAGATTATCAAAGAAACAAAGGGCAGATAAGGCAGCAAACTTTCACTAAAGGTCAATGGGAGTTGGACCCCAAAGACACAGAAGCCTTATCTTCCCTATGAAAAAAGGTGTGTCCTTGAGTTTAACTCAAAGATTAGGCTCCTTCATAGGCCTTAACTTGTATGAAAACTACTAATTGTGTTACGTAGTTATAAGGATTTTACCTTGAATTAGTTTGGATGGGTTAATGTCCTAGCTCACGTGAAAATGCAAACTGCCTCATCTTCATTAGGATTTTACCTCAAGTTAGTTAACAGGTCAGCTAACTTGAACTCATTGAGTTTAACTCAAAGATTAGGCTCCTTCATAGGCCTTAACTTGTATGAAAACTACTAATTGTGTTACGTAGTTATAAGGATTTTACCTTGAATTAGTTTGGATGGGTTAATGTCCTAGCTCACGTGAAAATGCAAACTGCCTCATCTTCATTAGGATTTTACCTCAAGTTAGTTAACAGGTCAGCTAACTTGAACTCAAA